AATTATTCTTTTCTTCAATGAAATGGAAAGATAAAGACAAACAATAAACATGTTCTATTAAAACAAAAAGACTGTCAATTATTCTAACTCTGGTTCAATTTTTGTAGAAAGAGCACAAAACTCAGAAGCTGTGAATTCAAGATTCTGCTATTTATCATTTCAATAATGGTTTTATAAGCATACGTTACTTCATTAGCTTTTCTAAATTTAAAGCTATACATCCATATGGTTTAAAGAATCAAATTGTTCTAGAAGACTTGTGTAAAAACCAGAAGTACCATATGCCTTACTTCCATTTTCCATTTCCTACAGGCAACCACTTCTAACATTTTTAGTTTCTTTTTTTTTTTTTAAGATTTTATTTATTTATTTGACAGAGAGTGAGAGAGGGTACACAAGCAGAGGGAGTGGGAGAGGGAGAAGCAGGCTTCCCGCAGAGCAGGGAGCCCGATGTGGGACTCGATCCCGGGACCCTGGGATCATGACCTGAGCTGAAGGCAGATGCTTAACGACTGAGCCACCCAGGTGCCCCCCAACATTTTTAGTTTGATTCTATTTTTACCTCCATACCTCTAAATGACATGCTTATATTGGTACTTCTTAATTTTTAAAAGTTTATCATTATCTATTAATGTTCTCCTAAAGCACCTTTTCACCCCTGTCCCCCTCAAAGCCCCCACTGCTCCTCTGAATATGTTTATACTCTTCAAGCATTTTATTTAATTTAGAAGAAATCTCAACCTTGAGACTTATGACCTACTCCAATTTGAGATCTCCTTTCACTATTACCCTGAGGACCCTCTTTGCCTCTTTCATGTGCTGGATCTCTTGTTTCCTATGTTTCATGTTTTTCTCTTCATCTTAATTTACTCCCTTGCTTTGGTGACACATGATCTTCAGTAGCTTACTCAGAAATAATACAAGGAAAATAATCTCTTTTGAGAGATCTCATACCTAAGAATGAATTTGTCATGTATGATTGATATTTTTGCTGACTGTGAACTTCTACATTGGAAATTATTTTCCATCAGTCACTGCTCTCTCGCCTTTTAGCTCCTGGTGTTTCGTCCATTTGGCTGCTGTGTTTTCTCTGTACCTGCACCCAAGAAGCTTAGCACTGGCGGAGAAAGTCAGGACAAGCAGGTAGATCCTATTATAAATTTGTGACTACCAACATCATCTGGACTCTCAACAGTACCAATTCATTCTTTTACAGAAGCAAAAGGCTATTTTAAAAACTCTGTAAACAAACAAACATGAAAATCTCTACTTTCCTCAACCTTTAGCAGCTCTCCTTCACCCACATTCTCAGCAGGTAATTTTGACTTTTACTCTTTGGGGAAAATAAAAGCCATCAGGTGACAATTCCCTTGAGTTCTAGAAATGAAATCTACAAAGTGACATACATTTACACCTATCTGTTCATCTTTGGATGAACAGTTTTGCTTCTGTTTGTGTCTTGGAGTCTACTCTGTTCATGCTTGCAAAGCCCTATAATATTGATTCCTCCTCTTTTTTTTCTTATATATTCAATTTCTGTCAAATGGATCATTTCCAGTGGTTTCTCCAGTGCTCAAAACTCACCCATTAAATTAGTCATCCAACTTACCAGCCAACCAACCCAATAAACAACAAACAGCCCTTTTTGTACCTACATTATCCTTCAGCTATTGCTCTCTGCTCCCCTTTTCAGCCAAACCTTTCCCAAAGAGTTGTCCTTACTCCTCATTTCATTAGCTATATTCACTCATTCACCACTCCATTCTGATTTTCTTGCTAACGTCCCAGTGAACTTCATCAAAAAATTTTGACCTTCCTACTATTACAAAGATCATCACATTTTCTTTTTTGAAGTAGTCTTTTTTTCCTGGGCTTACATAACAAAACTTTGTTTTGTTTTGTCCTTCCTTCCATCTCCTTTCCTATTATATTGTCATCTTCTTGATTACTAAATGTTAGAATTTGTGAAAGGCTCTTTCCTTGGTTCTCCCTTCTTCTAATTCTCTTCTCTTTCCCTAAACAGTTTTACCCATGTATATGGCTAATTACTGCCTACAAACAAATAAGTAACATGTTTTTGTCTCCAGTCAAGATCTCTTTTCTGAACTCCAGACCCATACATCCAATTGCTTATATTACATAGCTTTTTGGGGTCTTAATGGCACCTTAAACTCAATATGCCCAGTTCAAATTCATCTTTATTCCAGTGAAGTCAATCCTCTTCCAGTGTTTCTATTTTAGCTAATAGTACCTATCTTTCTCCAGTTATGTTGGCCAAAACTCTAGAGTCATTCTTGACATTTCTCTGTCCATCACTGCATATCCAATCCATCACCAATCTAGTTGGTGACATTTGCAATCACAACATTTCTCAAATCCTCTCACATTTCTCAATCTTCACCACTCTAGGTAAGCTACCAGTATCTATTATCTAAACTTCCTGGATAGTCTCTTAAATGGTGTACTTCTATCCTTGTCCCTCAATCTATTCTCCATACTATAGCCATTGTCATTTTTTAAAATGCAAATCTAAGTACATTATCTTTTACTTAAAGCCTCTCCATGGCTTCTTTCTGTTCTAAGGATAAAGACAAAAACTCCTTAACTTGGCCTACAGGGCTTACATACTCTACTCCTTACCTCTCTTCCCTCAGCTGGCATCATCTCATTCCTTACTTTCTTTTACCAGCTTTGCTGATTTCCTTTTTGGTTCTCCACTGAAGGAATGTACACTGCCTCCTCCCACCACAGGATCTTTGCTTATGCTGATCCTATTGAGAGCCAATATAGCTTAGCGGCTAAGTCTAATTTTCAAGGGAGACTTCCTGGGTTCAAATCCTGATTTTATAATTTACTGAGTTGTGTAAATTTGGGTAATTTATTTTACCTTCCTGTGCCCGTTTCCTCAACTGGAAAACAAGGATAATTATAATATCTATCTTCAGGGATGTTAGGATGATCAAATAGTCATTTGTAGGGAATGCAGATATCTTTGTGGTCATTGCTTTCACGCAGTTCATTCCTCCGCTAAAGTTCAAACCCAGATCACTCCTCTTATCACAGCAAAGTGGTCAGCTGCACAAGAAGTGGACAAGAGGCTTACTCTTTACTCTGAGGAAAGGAATTGTTTTCTTGAATGAAGTGAGGAGGGAGTCTCACTCTCCTCTTTCTTGCCCAGTTAAATTCTTCTCAAACTTCTATTCAGCCCCAGAGTCATTTTCTCTGAGAAGCCTCCACTGACCTCTCTGAATCTAATTACTCCATTACAGATTTTTTCCTATCTTGAGTCTCTTATTTGTAATGCTTAATATAGGGGCAATTTTATATTTTTATGAATGATTTATTTATTTAGATCAACATTCTATCTTTCTCACTAGAATGTCAGCTCCAGGAGCCTAGGGATGGTGTTTGTTTTTGATAACTCTTCTTTGGGCCTAACACACTATCCAGCACATCTCAGATTCCCCCCCAAATAGTTCTTGGCAGAAAAAGATGGCAAACATCCCTGATGGAAACCTCCTTGATAACCTGTTTTGGTGTTTAAGTCAGAGCTTTGCACAGTAATTAATAAGTTCAGAGAAGGAACACATGGCAGTCAAGCAAGCAGTTAAGCTGTTATCTGCTCCCAGTTTTTCAGCAGGTGACTCTGAGCAGGAAGGTTTTCCACTCAGTAAGGTAGGGTTTTGTGGAAATTATGTGCCAGGTACATGGACCTGGGTTTGATTCTTGGCTCCATTATCTGATGCTATGTGAACTTAGTCATGTCACTTGACTTCCCAGAGTCTTAGTTACCTCATCTGTCAGGACACCACAGTACATGGCACCATTCTTTTTAACTAGGCAACTGAACCTATATGAGTTTCTATTGACCCTAAGTATAACTTGCCCCTTGTGTAAGCCAGTAAGCCTCCCTCTGTGGCACAGTAACAAACTGCTTTCCCATTCCAACCCCCACCCCCAAAAGAGTAAAAAAAAAAAAAAAAAAAAATTGTGCTTTTGGTCACAAAACAAACAGGGATGAATCAGTGTGAACGCAAAAATGGGAGTGCCAAGGGCATGCCTGGTGCAAGCAAGTTTCTTCTTCCCTGGTGCATCAAGTCTAAGTTTACAAGCGGCGGTGGGTCGCCTGGCCTAGGCAGTTAGGATCATAGGATCATTTGCTGGTCTTCCTCTATGAGACTGACCTTGAAAACAGAGAAGAGCCGTCGGTCCCCTGACAAAACAGGCTGCCTAGATGCCAACTGGATTCAGCTAACCACCATTTCCATCTTAGAGGCTCTTTTCTTCGCCACCCTGCCCTCCCCCCTTCTAAATCAGCTGAATCAATTCCTTGAGAATCACATAGAAAATGACTCCCCCCTCACTTCATTCAAGAAAACAATCCCTTTCCTCAAAGTAAAGAGTAAGCCTCTTGTCCACTTCTTGTGCAGCTGACCACTTTGCTGTGATAAGAGGAGTGATCTGGGTTTGAACTTTAGCGGAGGAATGAACTGCGTGAAAGTAATGACCACAATGATGTCTGCAAGAGATGGACATTGTTTCTTCCGCTAGTCTGCTCCTTTCTCCCTCCTCCTGTTTCAAACTTGGGGACCGACGGGGGCTGTGAGTTAGAGGGTGTAATGTGTGTGTGTAAATAGAAGGGGAATTACGTGTGCATTTGGCGTGCGTTCAGAAAGTGTTGTGCTTAAACTTGGTAAGTGTCTGTGTTTGAAAAACCATGAAAGTATACGTGCGGGGTAAGGTTTGTACGAGTAAGCGCAGAAAAGTGGTCGTGTGTACGTGGTGAGTGTGCGCGCGCGAGTGTGTCCGAGCGCCAGGGGCGGCCCGCCCGCGCGCCCGCCCGCCGTGGCTCCCCGTGGGCCGGCCGGGCCAATGAGCGCGCGGCGGCAGGGGCGGCGGGCGGGGAGGGGGCGCCGGAGCCCTGCGGCTGGAGGCGCGGGCGGCGCGCCGCGCTCATTCCGCGCGGGCGTTGCTGGCAGGGGGAGGCGCAGGCGGTGGCCCGGCATCCGGGCCGGGACTCGGGGCGGCGGGCGGCTCTCGGGGCTGGGATGCGCCGGGGGCGCCGTGGCGGCGGCGTCGGCGGCGGCCGGGGGACGAGCTAGCGCCGCGGCGCGGGGAGCCAGTCGAGCCCGGCCGGCGAGCGGAGGCGGCGGCGCAGGCAGAGCGGCGGCCGCAGTCGGAGCCGGAGCCCGAGCGCCGCGCGCCCACCATGGCCGCCCAGGGCGAGCCCGGCTACCTGGCGGCGCAGTCGGACCCGGGCTCCAACAGCGAGCGCAGCACTGACTCGCCCATGCCCGGCTCCGAGGACGACCTGGTCGCCGGGGCGCCCCTGCATAGCCCCGAGTGGAGCGAGGAGCGCTTCCGCGTGGACAGGAAGAAACTTGAGGCCATGTTACAAGGTAGGCATCCCCCGCGTTTTCGGACTCCTGGACTGAGTCCGCACTTCTTCCCGGACATCCCCGCCCCGCGCCCAGCTCCCCACTCCAGCCCATAGCCGACTTAGTTCCCGGGTCCCCTCCCCCGCGAAGCCGCAGGACACCCAAGGAGTGGAGACCTCGCGGGACTCTCCACCCTTCCACGCCTCTCATGTCTCCAGGCACCGGGAACCTTGTGATAGCTTGACCCGCTTCAGAAAAGCCAAAGGCCGAGTTTGTACCGGCGCGCCCCGGTTGTGTCCTTGGATACTTCGGAGATGCCAACTTTAGTGCGGACACCGGGACCATCAGGACCCACTGGGACCTCACAGAGTCTGCGTGACTCTGTCCCCACTCCCTGATAGCCTTGAATTCTAGCTCTCTGTCCCTGTTTCTACTCATGTCAGTATCCATCTCCTCCAGCTGAGGGGCCTTGTCTCGCTATTGGGAAACACTGCAGATGTCAGGGCTTAAGATAGGAGTTCCCGCCCCCCACCCTTCACTCTGGAGTCAAAGGGGCCTGGATGGGGGTAAACGGCCAGAGCGTGGGGACTGTGTCAGGGCAATGCTGCTGGGTTAGAGGACACTCTGTGTTCATCTCCTGACAGGCTTATAGAACACATCTTGAGTTACACTCAGTTCATAAAAATCTTCCTGTACTATGAGTGTCTGTCTTATACAATTGTTTTTTCTTTCTTTTTTTTAATTCCCTAGTTTCTCTGGGACTTTCCCAGGCCCAACAGCTTTAGGACTGGAGGCAAATTCCGAGTTTTAATGGGAGGATTGGAGTTCTCAGAGTGAACGCTAAAATGTTCAAGGTCATTTTGGCCTTCCTTCAAAATGTTAATTACTAGCCTACCTGTAAGTCACCAGTGTGGTCATTTCCCTCATCCAGAAAAATATGATAGTTTGAATGACTGTCATTCTTAAAATACTGTAGAGGACCAGGCATTAATTTGACTAAGGGTGTATGGTGGATTCATTCAGTAGCTAGTGTCCTTATATCTAGAGGATTGGAGCTTTCCAACTTTCTTGTATCCTTATGCATAACTTTGACTTTATTAGTCAATGCATTACAACATGGGAGCTATTTAGCCCTCCCTGGAAATGCAGTGGCTTTTCAAGACAATTAGGCAGGTTATTTAAAGAGAGAACAACATGTTTTCCAAGACAATAACTTGGTAGAAACAAATAGGAGTGTTTGGCTGGTGTTTTTGGATGAGCTATAAACTCATCTCCCTTGTTGCTTATTTTTATTGGTAAACATCCCTAGTGCTTGTCATGTCTCTCTTTCTCTCTTTTTTCCTCTTAAATTATATAATTTTCTAGGAGAGTTACTTCTGTGATAAACTATTCAAATAAGAATATCGTATAGTGGATTTAGAAATTAAATTATAGTGGATTTGGGAATTAAAGTTGTATTTCAGTAATCCATTTTAGTTTAATTTGTTCCATGGTTCTTTTTGCCTAGTTTCTGATTCTAAAACAAAATACTAAGTTTATTCAGAAAAATATTGTGAGATTGTTCCCTACATGAGTTTGGGCTGATGTGAAAGGTGGATTTTCTAATAATACTGTGTCTTCCTTACCTGTTGTTCCATTTGTGGACACATAGATAGTGACAGCGATGTTAGTTTCTAGGCAGCCCTCTGACCTTTCGAAGTGGATTTCTTTTTTGAATTAATTTTCATTTAGAATAAAATGAAATATGGGTGATGCATTTCTTAAGTTTGAAGACTGTCCCCTTAGCTACTCTGACATGAGGTGGTTTAAAATTGCTTAAAGTTTCTTTCACAGGAAGTCCTAACAGAGCTAATGTTTCTTCAAGAATCTATGTGTAATGAAATATTTACATTTCAGCCCCAAAGAATTCTTTAATGATTGAATATAGGGCTTTGATTAACTTTCCAGAAATCACCAATAAGTGAATTTTGCCTTCTGAGAAGGTAAATTTTGAATACGTTTGGCAATAGAACGTGGGGCACAGTGTACCAAGGCATTTTGTGATACCTGCTTCAACTACTGTGTTTGAAGGAGTGAGACTGATTTTCTGAACCAAAAATAATCCTGTGTCTCATTGTTTTATTTATTTTTATTTTTTTATTTTTTAGATTTTATTTATTTGCGAGAGAGAGAATGAGAGACAGAGAGCATGAGAGGGTGGAGGGTCAGAGGGAGAAGCAAACTCCCCGCCGAGCAGGGAGCCCGATGCGGGACTCGATCCCGGGACCCCAGGATCATGACCTGAGCCGAAGGCAGTCGCTTAACCAACTGAGCCACCCAGGCGCCCTGTCTCATTGTTTTAAACCAGGGGATTATAGCGAGAGTGGGCACTGGAATCACTCAGACCTAGATTCATATCCCACAGACCTTGGGACAGTTCCTGGGCCTCTCTCTGTCTCAGTTTGGCCATCTCTAAATGGGACTGATAATAGTATTTCTCTTAGGGTTTTGTGAGAATTAAAAGATATAATGCCTGCTAAGCTAAAACACTGTTTGACAAATAAGAGCCTAATATATATTTTAGATGCTTTTATTATTAATAAATATTTCAGCATGGATTCAAAAGATTTCCAGTGCCCATTACAATTTCTGATGTATAGTGTATACCTAAATATTTGGAGAACGAAAAAATTTTGCAATTTCATACTGTGGAAGTAAAATAGAGTCCAAGATAGGAAGTTTGATAAGTCAACAAATATTCTAATATTGTTAGATATTCTAGGGTGTAAAACTTTTTCCTTTGAAAAGTGCCAAGTAAGTAAAGTATTTGCCTGGTTGGATTTCTGATTATGTGAATCTGGTTTGCCATTTTTATTTTCATAATTGCCTTAAAATATATGCAGATTTCCAGTTTAAATCAGGATAAATAAGATTATCTGTCTTTAAGTCTACATAGTGCAAATTAGTGATTATAATGCTTGGAATTTGTTTCTAGAGAGACTGTCCTGGGGGTAAGTTAATCTTTAATCGGTTGCATTTTTATTAGTAGAGAATTTCTTCTACGCAATGGACCAAAAATTCAGCGAGGTTAAAATATGGGCAGTAGGGCACTGATCAAAGAAATGAAATACCATTCTCGGATGATCAATGAATCCCAAAAGAATTTGTATACATAAAAACCACCAGGCTGAAAATGTAGGGAAAAATTGGCTAGTTTTTCTCTTCTCTTCTCTGCTCTGCTCTTCTCTTCTCTTTCAGCCTTGCAGAATATCTGACATTTTTGTCTAAATGAAGATCAATTTTATTAGTCAATGATTTTATAAATGGGAATTATTTTCAAGTTTATTGAAGTTTATGGTCAACCTTGGAATGGATACCATGGACAGCACTGTTTAACATAAAGAAAAATTGTTTTTAATTTATTTAATACTGATTTTAAAAATTTAGATTTCATGCCTCATGTGAGATAATAGTATTGATTCATTTAATTCAATTAAATGTGACTTATGGTATGCAAAGAGGAGGAGAAGAATGGTATAGAAGAAAGTCTGGTGGGAAGTAGGAAATAAATAGGTCAGAAGAGTCAGAAATAGTCTTGGTATTTGCTAGAGACCTTGAGAGGCAAACATGGAATTTGTATATTTATATTTTTTCTTTCTTTCTCTCTCTCTCTTTTTGTATGTTTTACATCTTACTGTTACACTTTTCTTCTTAAGTTAAAAAACATATGTGCATGCCTACATACAATTTAGAAGGGGGGAAATCGGAGGGGAGACGAACCATGAGAGACTATGGACTCTGAGAAACAAACTGAGGGTTCTAGAGGGGAGGGGGGTGGGGGGATGGGTATTAAAGAGGGCATGTATTGAATGGAGCACTGGGTGTTATACGCAAACAATGAATCATGGAACACTACATCAAAAACTAATGATGTAATGTATGGTGATTAACATAACATAATAAAATTAAAAATAAAAGCATAGGCATTTTCAAAGTTCTGAATCCCTTGTTTCATCATAGAAGTGTTACAAGGTGGGAAATGGCCTATTTTTATGAACTAAGGTTGACATCTGGTGGGCTTTTAGGATATTGCTGTTAAAGACTTTGAAAACCGTGTTGCATTTTTACAATGATAGGCACAACGAGAATCATTTACTTTTGCTTGCTTGAGTAGCAGAAGTAGCCACTAAAATAGGTTATCAACACATCATTGATTAAAAGTAAGAACAGTGATTATGTTATCTCTTTAATTCAGCGAGTGAAGTGAATCTTTAGTGAAGATGGTCTTATGTTTTAGATGGTTTATGGGAGAAATATAAAGCACAAATGGGGAGTACTGAAAGTTAAGATAAATAAGCTTGATATAGTTTTCTAGCTAATGTTCGATTAAGGCTAATATAATAGGAAGAAATAAATAACTTTATGAAGCTTAGTGGTTAAAATCACAGGGCTCTGGGCCAGATGTGGATTCTAATCTTGATGCTATCTTCTAATAGGGAGCTTGGGAAAATTCATCGCCTGTGGCCCTCTTTCTGAAAGTGGATGTTGGGGCGCCTGGGTGGCTCAGTCACTTAAGCATTGTCTCTTGATTTCGGCTTAAGTCATGATCTCAGGGTTGTCAGATTGAGCCCTGCAGTGGGCCCCATGCTGGGTGTGGAGCCTGCTTGGGATTCTCTCTGTCCCTCTGCCCGCCCCCCCCATCAATCAATCAACAAATAAATAAAAGGGAGTATTAATAGTTCTTGCATCCTGAGGTGCTTGTGATGATTAAGACAAAAATGATGTATATAAAGCATCACAGTGCTGGCCATATAGGAAGTGCTGAATAAATGAGTAATAACTATATTAATTATAAACCATAGTTCATAAAACACACATTCTTATATTGCAAATGAAAATCAAGTATACTGGAAAATGAATTAAATGGTCTTATAGTATGATGTAATGCATGGTGATTAACATAACATTAAAAAAAATACAGAATCTTTAGTTTGTCACTCAAAAAAAAATGGTCTTATGATAAATAAATATTCATAGCTATT